ATAAAACAAATCTCCAAGCAGTGCTGCTTCGACTCACCAAGATTCACACAAAGGTGTTGCTTTCACATGTCATTTTTAAGCCCAATCCTGCTGCCCAAATGAACTAGACTATAATTTCACATTTCACTCTTAGACAGATTCTTGAAATCCCAGGTTCAACAGAAAAAACAGTGACCACCAAATCACATCTTTGAGGGCAACCATACCAGTTTTCACCTCAAGAACCATAGTAAAAAAAAGGTCCGGCTTCTATAGACGCTTTGCAGCAGCTGTGCATGGGTGCCGCCATAACTGACCTTCAGTTTTGTTTCCCCTTATTTCGTTTACTTCACTTCATTATTACCATAGCAGGCTAGGTCATTGCCATCCTAGATTTTATTCTGTCTTTCTCCCCAGTATAGGCATTTGTGGAGGCTCGTCCACACCAATTTCAGTGGCTCGGTATCTCGGTAAAACAAGAGAAGGTCAGCAATGGCGGCTGTATTCTGGCGTGTGTGTAAAGCGTCTATAGTCGGATGCAACCTGAGAACGATCTTTTAGCTATACCCACAAGCGCATTGCGCCCATCTGAAGTGCCTCCGCCGTTGAGAAAGTAGTTCGCTAGCAACGTTGCTTTTTCTTCCTCCAGGAAACGTGTCTTAAACTACTACCATATTTATTTAATTCATTCAGGACATTTAAATAAGTTAGAATATGTTTTTGTTAACGAAATAGCTGTTTAGTAAAGAAAGAAAGTCATGTCCAATGTACCGTCTTCCCAATTCATTTTCTGTCCAAGATACTGTCTAACATACCGTCTTCCAGCGCCTTCGATTGAGGGAAAGCGAAGCACTTATAGTTCCTGCAAATAATAAATATTTAGTGACTTACTTAGTTTTGTGGGCTTTGCACACGAAATGTGTGCCTTTATTTTGTTGGATGAATAGAAAACAAGAATAATTATACTTTTCGGGTTTTGACAAATCGGCACCCTTCCAAGTCATCGACACCACCACCGCGCCCCGCTCTCTTTGTCTTCCGTCATGGATCCCACTGAGGTGACATCGGAAAGCGATTCCCCTGATTCTTCTTGGACGAAACAGCCTGGTGCAGCCTTACCGGCGACACCAAAGCGGTTCTTCAAGAAGCACAAGCAAGGTCAGGTTTTGAACAGCGGCCAGCAGTGCTAAGCCTCGCGCCCGCTTCGAAATTTTCGTTGGCGATAGCGTCACTGGATTCTCACGTTGTCGCGCAAAAACTGCTGCAAACGCAAGCCGATACCATTAAGATTTCGCGACGTAACCTCGGGCACGTAAAACACGGTGCAAAAAAGCAGGATAATTGTCACGAGAAACTAGCGTCGCGTTGCTAAGGCAAGCAGCCATGTTGAGCTTTTTTTTTCTTCAAAAGGATCGCGATTGGTCCACGGAATCGTGACGTCATGAAAACGATTGGCTGGCGTTTCTCGGCGTAGGATTACATTTCCCTCTGAAAGGCATTTCAGTTTTTTTCTTAGCTTGCAACCGACTATAGCAGAGCATTACTAATTTCCCCCTATATGTGGCAAGTTGAGATATATGAAGGAAATTTTTAGACTAAATATACATTATCTCATCAAGATGTACACTTTACAAATGCAACACTTTTTCCGCCCACAACCGAATCTCGTGCCGGGTATGAACGATGCTCAAAACTTGCTTTTTCCTTGAGGTGAAAATGGGTATAGAGCTCACAACCATTAAAAGTGTTTCTTTTTCCATTCATACCGTGGCACATGAAACAATGGCGAAACACATCTTCCAGCTCTTGACGGTTGCTACACCGTACTGCTAGTGAAGTTTGGTAGGTTGTGAATGTTGTTAATTGGCAAGCGCATGTGAAAACACGTAGTACCAAGCCTTTGAATGAACAACAGAAATGAAGGTGATAAGATTTATAAGTACACTGCTGAATTGATATAACCAGTTTCATTGTGCACCCTTCCTTTCGAGGGTGCAGCAACAGTGAATATGTACCTCTGGAAAACTTCAAAATAGTCACAATCCTTTTTTTCTTTTTTAGTTTTAATGTTTGTAAATTAACTTGAAATACAGTTTACAGTCAGGATTCTGGAGATGCTCCACCTCGATTTCAAGCCTCCGACCTTTAATAACACATTGTTACCTCTGTAGCCAGGGATGGGCAGTATTTCAAATACAAGTATTTGAAATACGTATTTCAAATACTTTGTGTATTTTGCATTTGTATTTAATTACGAATTGGGTAATGTATTTGACGTGTGTATTTAAATACTAAAACGTGGGTATTTCCAATACAATTGCAATTAAATACAATTTTGTGGGCGGAAATACATCACTCAAATTTATTGTCACTGTCCAGTGCAGGAAGAAAACTGCGTTCTGCACCGAATGCAGTGTCTCTCAATCAACCACAAGCGTTTAGTGACTTTGTGATTACGGTGCTAGTCCAGTGCAAGAATAGTGGTGAAATCGACGTTCACAGGACTGGCTAAATAAGTGCCTGTGGCAACTTGTGATGCTTTCCAGCCTGATTTCCATCCATATTTTTGTCTGGAACATTCTAAATGCGCGGGTCGTCCATATTTTCGTAACTGGTGCTAGTTGCAACAATAAAGAATTCTCTAGCTAGTGCTGCGCATCTTGGTCGTCTCGGTTCTTTGTTGGTCTATACCAAAATGTAATCGACAAAAAAAAGCTGCTGAATCTCTGTACTTTTTTCACCTATTACGTCCAAGCTGATTACTTTTTTTGTGATTATATTTCTATTACGTCACTAAAGCCTCGCACACTAACTCCCGAGTGTGCGATGCAAAATTAAAATGAGATACCCAGAAACCCGTTGCAGATGCCCTGAAGTCGCTGACGCAAAGTTTGAGGAATGTATTTGGAAAAGTATTTGGAGGAGACCAAATACATCTTGTTGTATTTGTATCTTGTATTTAAATGCTTTTATGGAAATGTAATTAGATTTGTAATTAAATACATTTTTGACGAAGTATTTTGTATTTGTATTTCGATACATATTTGCATGTATTCTGCCCATCCCTGTCTGTAGCCAAAGCCATTTTACCATTGAAAACTTCCGAAGATCAGTTATAAGAAGGTAACGGTTTGTTCCAACACTTAGGCATCTGGTTGGGACTGCTAGGGCTATATTTGAGTAGGGAGACGGAGCGTTTGGAAACGCATGGTTTACGTTTTGTAATAACAAAAAGGCTTCGGCTAGGGTTCCGTCCAGACGGAACAACTGTTACCACTACAGTTCCGTCCAGAGGGAACTATAGCCACCACTAAAGTTCCGTCCAGACAGAAGAGCAACGCGCCACTGAAGCTCCATCCAGCATGCACGGAAGTTGATCCCTATAGACCGACATGCTGTTTACAAACAAGCCCGCGTTTGCCCACACCAGGTGTGGGCACTGTGCATGCGCAGAAACCGGATTCGCGTGAAGTGAAGCTTCTGCGCATGCGCAGTGCCGTCGACAGCGCCTCCACAGACGCGTGACGTCAAGGCCGTGTGTTGGTCTACATGTTCAACCCCTGACTCTTTCCAGAGTAACAGCTGGCAATGTTCCTAAGCTAATTTTAATTTAGTCTTTCAAGTTAAATTCACTTGTCCCAGCAATCCCATAACATTTCTGCTGCTTCCTCGAAAACAGTTTATCCAACCTCTGCAAACCTTGCATCCTCTGGCCTCTATTACCTCCATATACACATTAAAAATCTCCTCCCAGACAAGTGTTTCTTTCGTTGTTTTTTTTTGTTTTTTTTAAAGAATTTGTAGCTACAGGGAGCCAGATACAGTGAATGCAGTAGATATCATTTTCAAAGCTTTATTTAGGAATGACAACCACTCGAATGCAAAACCTGAGGCTGGGTGCATTGTCGTAATGAAGGAGTACTCCCAGTCTCCACTTCCCACAACGTTTCTCCTTGATTGCAGCGCATAGTTTTGTAATTAGGTTTGCATAATAAGAAGCCAGTATTGTGGCTCCACCTGGTGAATAATTTCTAAAAAAAAAACAAACACCCTTGGCATCCCGAAAAATTGCCCGAGCTTGTTATCGTCCCTCTAGCATGGACACGAAAAGGAACAATACTCTCTACTGGACACTTGGGAACGAACAAACGGGGCTCTATGAGGCTTGCTGTCGTTCCGGAAGCCGAACTGCTATTGTTCCGTCTGGACGGAACTCTGCTGGGCCTGCCATAGTTCCATATGGACCATAGAGATCATACATACTAACTCTAGAAGAAAAAGGTCCGCCATTTTTCCATGCATTCTGGCTTCCGCAAGCAGCGGAGCATGCAGGCAGACCCTCGGGGTCCCACACATGGTTACCAACTGCCTTCGATTTCACAAATATAGTTATATCATCAAAGCAGGTTCATGAACTTCCACAATACACAAACTTATTGGTGGAAAGATATTCGCGTTCCTTTCGAAGCTTTCTTTTTGCATAGCGCATAGATGTACGGCCTTCTGTCAACACTAAACTAAACCAGATAACCAAGATCACCGGCTTCGCGGATGGCCGCGCCCCAGGAATACGAAACCGCGCAACCACCAGATTTCAGAGATTTCGACAGAAGGGAAGTTAATGCAGCGTAATGAATATACTGCTTTTTGTAAGCGTTAGAATAGCTCAAAATTTAGTTTACAACGCTAAATTATCACTATTTATATTGCTGAGAGTTTTCAGTCTTCGCGATTACCATTGCGACTGTCGTCCTTCAGCTGGCAAGATTGGTTTCTTTCTCTCGTGTTCTGTCGCTCTTTCGCGATCTTTCACTTGGGACCCAGGATGTCGGCGTACGTGATTTTCCACTCCTCCTCACCCACCTTAACCCCCCTGATCTGGACGGAACTCTAGGGCGTCTGCTACTGTTCCGTCTGGACGGAACTCTAGACTCTCAAACAAAAAAAAAAGGCGCTGTATTTTTTGTTCATGATTATTTTGTATATAAGGACAGAAAAGAAAGAGCAACGTAGTCACTCACCAGGTAGAGAGGACTCCCCACGAAGGCGCCGACGCAGCCGGCCGCAGCGCCCGCGGCAATACTCTTGATGACGTTGAGACTGCCGTCCTTGTTCTTAGTCAGGTGCAGGTCTTCCATGATGTGGTAGGCGCCGAGCCGGGTGCCGTTCATGAAGAACTGGTACCAGAGAGCGGGCGAGAGCCCGCTCTGCAGGGCCCGGAGCCCGTCGTGCTTGCCGATGGCGTAGAACGCGTGAAACACATTGCGGTAGTGAACAGTGTAGCGACCGCGAGCTTGGAGCTCGCCCTGCAACTGAATACGTGTCTTGACCACTTCCAGGGGATTTGTGAAAAAGCCAGCACCACACGCGGCCAGTCCGCCCAGCAGAAATTCCATGCTCAAGAGTGACGGCAAATAAAAAGGTATGCTGGAAAATTGCAAAAACCAGTATCGATTTTTTTTTTTTCGAGTTAAGACGTTAATTTGTTTTTAGGTAAACGAGAGAGCGTTCGTCTGCTAAAACTCGCTTTGTCGTGCTACTAAAGTCGATGTGTGCAGAGCTACTTGCGTCCCTTGGAAACAGAAGGAAAAGCGCCCAAAGAGGTTTGAAACCGTAAGTTGCAGAGGTGAGCGCGACGGCGATCCGATGAGAAGTGACAGCAACCGGTGCAACGTTCAAGCAGTTCAAGTCGGAGCAGAAGTCAAATCGTAGCGGCGCTATGGCAACAAGCTACAGGAACGAGAACGTAGACCCCCCCGATCGTCTGCTACCAAATGATTCGTGCCGCGAGCTGCCGGTCGCTTCAACGTCGAGTCGGCTTGTGCCGCAAACTCCGCGATATAGTCCACTGATAGCCTATTTATAGGAAAAAGAGTTTGAGCGGTCCAATGCAAGAAGTGGCATTACTCGCTACGAAATCACTCGATCGGAACGCTATTCTCGAGGCAGACGCCCCAGAATCGGCGTAAATCGACGGAAACTAGCGTTGGATTCTTGAGAAACCAATGAATGAAAATCGACGCAGCCTACTGTACAGAAAGAAAAGAAAAGAAAAACAAAATTTGAACCCGCGATTAGAGTTGGGAGGAGCGACTCCCAACGACGGTTACCTTACGCTAGTACAAAGCTCTCAGAAGTCGTAAAGAGCATTCATCGGTGAATCTGCTCGGGCATACTGGCTGCGACTCTAGTTAATTTTGGAAATGAAGGGAATAATTACCACGAAGCATCACCGGCACACGTGCATTTGCTGGCTTGAGGGCCTGCGGGCGACTGGTGTTCGTTTGCGGAAAGACGCTTACGCAAAAACTTCACCGCAGTCCGTAGTAGTACCGGTAGTACCTCCGCTGCTATAAAGCAAGTGTGTGCGAGAGGCACGCTGAGGCCATTGACCTAGTGAAGGATAAATTCTTCCGCATTTATTTTTAAACAAAACGTCCGCTACCAGCTTTCTGTTTTGTTTCTCTTTAGGGGAAATAGATGGCTAAAGCAATAAAGCCTAGCGAACTCTGGAGTTGGACGATGACATACGCTACCTAGCGGCCACTGTTTCCCTACTCGAACTATGAGTACGGACAGCGGTGGATTCTAAGCCGCACTCCTAGTGCGTGAATAGCAAAAAGGTTAGGTGAATAGCCGGAATAGCCACCATAGCGTATTGCGTGCGAAGGCGCGGTCGTTGTACCACGAGGTCCGGAGGTACGAAGACGTTGGTGCGGCGCGATTTTGTCGCGGGAAACTGGAACAGAGTGGTTTAGAAGTTATCAACTTTTTGTTGTGACACTGGCGTGTTGGCAGTCTCGACGGGTCTATGGAAATATTAGTGGTTCTGGTTTCGGAATTAGAATAATTTCAAACAAATGTTTTTGTTTTTATTAAAAAAAAAATTAATTAGCATTGGTTAGCGCACTTACGATTAAACGGTACTGGCGCCTCGGGGACCGGACACAGGCGATGCGATCAGTGTGTGTGTGTGTGTGTGTGTGTGTGGGGGGGGGGGGGGGGGGGGGGGGATTTTTTTATTAATCTTTTACCAACTTGAAAGTCAGGGAAATCCCAAAAACCATCAAACCCCCACTCCCTCTCTTTCAAAAAAAAAAAAAAAAAAAAACACAAAAAAACTTGGCGATAATTTTTTGTCGGGTTAAATAGTTTTATTGACGAAAAAAGAAAGAAACTAGAGCAGGTGTAGGATTTTAGGCGTGTATTGCGTTGTGCTGATATGATGTGGGTAGTGGCGTAAGAACGGTAACGGGTGAAGGAAAATCGGTCATTTCCAATAAAACTATATTATGGCCCCCCGCCCAATCTTCAGAACAAATTCAACAGTACTAGATGGGGAAATGCCTGAAAAGTCCCCGGCCACTGTTTTGTTAATAGAGGCTGCATGTTTAAAGGGATACTGAACCGAAATTTAGATTTCGCAAAGTAAAGCTGCAGAAGTGTTGAATGGGACGCTACGAACTCTAAAACATCACTCGTACATCGATATCTCAAACGGATGGCCGTACTTTTGGAGACGAAGGGCGCGATCAAGCGAGTTCTTTGACGTAACAGTCCTCCGGGAGAATTTGAGAATGAGGAGAAGCGGCCTCGCTTCTCTCCTCCTCGCTTCGGTTCACCAGCTTGACGGGGCGTACCGAGGACGAGAGAGAATGGGAATCGTGACGTGCCTTGTTTCGTCGGCCTCGTCGGCCGGGTTCAATGGCGCACTTCTTTTCCGAAAAAATACGGCGATTCGTTAGATATATCGCGGTAAGAGTGATATTTTTTGGTTTTGTAGCTACCGCCTATCCGCCCGGCCTTGTTTTGTGAGCTCGAAATTTCGGTTCAGTATCCCTTTAAGGGGTATTCACACGAGAGAGAAATCCCGGGGATTTTTCCCCGGCACGCGCATCCCATGACGAAAACGTCAGGCTTTGCGATGTGCAAAGGTCTCGCGTTTTCATCTCGTACAAAAAAACTTCGTAATAGGCATTTATAGGCACAATCAGTTTTTATTCACAGGATGAGTTTGAAAGCATTCAAGGCCTCTGCATTTCAAAGACAGAATAGTAAAGTGGTACAATAGAAATTGCACTTGAATTTTTCCAACATTTGAAAAAAAAAATGCCGACTCATGCCCACACCGGTACTAAGCTATCCCATGCTGTACATAGTCCAACGAGAAACAATGGGAAAAATTATGAAAACAATAGCGAACAAGCACCATCTAAAGAGTCTTGGGTTCAAACTTCTGCCCCTTGTCGCTTAGAACCAGTTCGTACCCTGAAAAATGACCGCATCTCCACGTGGTGAATGATGTTGACTGGAGCGAAACTCTCGTGGTGCTGATGATACTGATTTTGTTCATAAGTAGTGCTGATGGTGCTGATTTTTTTTATTGCTCATAGGTAGTGCTGAGTTCGTTGCCGTTTCGACTTGATTATTACTGCTTTATGGTCGGTGAAATGAAGAGCCAGTGGTTCTTTTAGCGGATCAGCTTGGATCCGCTAGAAGCCGTGGGAGCGCATCTCCACAGCTTAAGTCAACGGTCCATGTCAGAAAGAGAATGTGTGGTATGGAACGTGGTTATATACGCAATTGAGCATCTGACCGCAGCGCCCTCTCGTCTCTAAACGTTGAGCCAATGCATACAAAGTTTAAAGCGATTATATACGCATTTGACTGCAGCGCCCTCTCCTGTATAGACGTTGAGCGGCTACACGCAACGTTTCATCCATGACATCCCGAGCTCTTGAGTTACTACCAGATCTCAGAGCTCGATCCCTACTCGTCCCGCAGTCGTGGTAGAAATCCATTGTGGTCTCCCCGCACAGATTCGAATCCTGTCAACAGCGCAATTTTTTTTTTTTTTTTTTTAAAGAAGACAGATGGGATGGCAATCGATCTGAGCACGGACGCCGGACGGACAAGGCTAGACCCTGAGCTTCGCCCCTGAAAGAGCGTTCCACGTCAACTGATGTGAGTGGGGCGTACTTGTATTTAGGAATATTCAATACTTCCACACCCTCCGGTACCCTGAAGTGTTTCCCGGTGAGAACTTTTGAGACTTATTTGAGTACAGAAAACCCACTATTTTTGCTCAAGACGGACTGAAGCTTTGAACGAACTTGTACAGCAGCGCTGCCTGCGGGGACGGCGTCGACTTGTTCTTGAACGTTCGAAATGAGCCGGATGTTCCAAGCCAGAGTTTCGCCAGCACTTTGAGGCTCTTAACCAGGCTAGCGGTTGTACTGCACTGGCTAAATTTCTCATCTACAGCTGGGAGACTCGTCGCCCCTGTGAGGCAGACAAAGTTCTAGGTTGTATAAACATACACACAACCCAATTTTTCTTCACCTCACATGTAGGCTGGCACGAGCGCACACGCACATACATACGCACACAGACACACGCGCTCGCTTAGTAGAAAAAGAAGAAAAAAAAAGCTTTTCACTGGGCATTACGCTCCGTTTCCCGATCTTCCAATGAACCGCAGCGAATAGGACGAGCCATCCCAGCCAATCCAGTAGTAGGGATGTCGCGAACCACCCCAAGGTCGATTTCGAAAGGTTTCGATATTTGCGAAGCGAACTGAGGTTCGATTTTGAAAAATTTCGATATTTTCGTACAGACCGAGGTTCGAAATCGAAAAATTCGCAACTTTCGATCACAGTGGAGTTTCGAATTCGAAAAGTTCGAAGCTTTCACGGTTTCTAAAATTTCGGATTCGAATATTTCGAATAATGTTTTACTTCAGGTCGATAAATTCGAAGATTTCGAAATTCTTTGGAAATAAAATTCGAAAACTTCGAACGCTTCGAATTTTTATAGACATGAAGTTTGAACAATTCGAAAATTTCGAATTTCTTTCTGCATGAAGTTCGAAAGGTTCGAAGGTTTCGACTCTCATTTAACGCTAAATTCAAAAAAAAAAAAAAAAAAAAAAAAAACTTTGAAGATTTTGAGTTCCTTTCTAGTCCAAGTTTTCAGAGTTCGAAGTTCGGTTTTCAAGTTCCTCCACAGTTTGTTTCAAATAACGTTTTCACGACTCACTGGTTTTCACAAAATTAAGTTTAGAAAAGTTAGGGTGTGATATCTAGATTCTGCGAAATGACGACGAGTGTCCCGGATGTGCTGGAATATTTGCCAGTGCAGAGTGGCGTGTGACCATGGATCAATAATTGTGACCGCCAGCCCGGGGGGGGGGGGGGGGGGGGGGGGTCTTTAATCTGCATCACGCAGTAGTGATCACACAAACACACTGTTTTACCAGACTCGTCCAGTTCGAAACGGCCAGGGACGAGCAGGAGGTTGAGGCTCAGAAAAACCTTGAAGCGACCTGGCAAACTACCTCGCCACCTCTTGCACGCTGGTAGTAATCCGATCGAACGCCGCCCGAGTGACGCTGGCATATAGTAAGTTAAGTTTGTAATTGTCCTGGAGGTTTATTTTCTGGGACGGAGGAATCGCCTCGCAAAAAGCCGACACAACTCCAGGTCGAGGAGCGTTCTACCATACAAGTGGCGTCGGAAGAGGAAAAACGGGGGGTAAGAGGGTAGCAAGGGGGGGGGGGGGGGGGGGGGGGGCTTCAGTTTCTTTCTTCCCTTCCAGATATTTCGAACTGTTAAAGAAAACAATACGGGGAAAGAGGGCGTGGTCGAGCTTATTTTAATCTGAAATTATTTATGCATATTTATTTATTTATTTATTTATTTATACATACCCTCAATGCCTCGGGGGCGTTATAGAGGGGAGTGGGTCAGTACAAGTGGTTTTGAAGGGCTAGTCGGAATTGCTTGGAGTCGGGTATGGTGACTATGGCGTCCGGGAGGTCATTCCAGTCCACAACTGCTTCAGGGATGAGGGAATGCTGGTGTGCTTCACTTGATGACTTGGGACGGGCGATCTTGCATGAATGGTCTAATCTTGATGATATGTAGGTATAGCTACTGTCGCTCTTCACTGCATAAAAGATTGCGTAGATGGTCATTGTTAGAAACTCGTTGTCAGAAGGCACTACTCGTCACATGCTTAGTGGTTCGGAAGTTCAAATAATATGCCTTTTCGACCTAAATACCTGTGCCAATAGTTAAAAAAGGATAAATGCGGGAATAAAAAGCTGGAGAAAACAATTGTTTTCTCCAGCTTTCCCGGCGACGCAACCGGGAAAGGTTTCCCGGCTGCGTCGCTAAATGGGCATAAGAGAAGAGGCACTATGCTTTTTGCCGTATAAACATATACACAAATCGAAGGAAGCGTGCATTTTGTATTTCGTGTGGAATTTACTAAGCATAACTATCAGTTTTGGGAAGACGCGTGTTAGTTATAGTCGGTGACAGGTAGTAGAAGCTCCTCCCATCTTTTTCCATATTTGTAGATCGAAAGATCCATATTAAAAGAACTAAGCCAATTATATATAACATTGGTAAGCCACTGGCTAAGACAGGCCAATGTTGCCCAGCCTAAGTCAATCGATTACCAATGTCGGTAATTGATTGGCT